AAATTGAGGGGGGGGGGGTTTCAGAGAAAACCAAAATCCCTGCTGATCACTTAAACTGGTTTATGTGTAAATTCTGTCCCTAGCTGTAAGGTTTCCAAGTGAATCACTCAAAAGTTGAGAAATGGCATACAATCTTAGCTCTTTGAGTCATTCGTTATGATACAACATTTAATGTATATGATTATATAAATATTTTCTTATAGATCTCCTGCTTCTTTCAGTGCACAAAGGGGACTGTTCTCTGGGAATAAACCAAGGTTGCAAAAAGAAAGACTTTATTGCCAGTTTAATTTGTCGTAGAAGCTGGAAGGTATATAGGAAATGAGGCAGGGGGTAGAAAGTTAGTAAAGAGGGAATTATGGTTGAGGAAGTTGAATGCTGTCTCAGAGGATCAGATTACCATCTCAACATCTGCCACAGAGATGTTGTATGGTGGCAGGCAAGTTGTGTAAATCCAAATGTCCATAATTAGGTACTAACTGGGCACATCAACACATTCATTAATGTGCAGTAGTTACTGTGCATTCAATTTAGTACTTGGTTAATGAAGTACTAACTAAATGTGCAGTAACTAGTGTTACTGTGCAGTAGCACCAGCACACAGGTTTTTATTGACGCTTACTGCACAGTAGCCTAATTCTACTGGGCAGTAGCATATTAGCACAGTTTTTGTCTGCACACTACTGTGCAGTGTTATTAGGCTACCGCGCAATAAGAGTCTCATGTAGACGCATCGATGGAGTGTTCCTCATATTCTGAGTGTCTGATGTGAAATATCTGGGGCCAGATTGCAGGACTGCCCAATTTTGCAACTAAACTGAATGAGAGCTGTGCTTTGAAATTATAGTGTGCTCAGAAAAATACTATCTATCCCTGAAAATCAAAGCATAAACTTTTATAGTTACATACCAAAAAATTGTCAGTATTCATGTTTCTTAAATATAAAACATTATCCTTCCTCAACTCATAGGGGGTGTTATGAAGATAAAGTTATTAATTTATGTGAGTGCTTCACAAAGTATGGCAAGAACATCACAGAAATGCTGATGAAGGAATGGTAATTCCATTCTTAGGCAGGGTTGAACAGTATCTAGTAAATAATTCACGGAGCCACTCATCGAGTGATGAGAATAACAAATACTCAATAACTGCTTAGCAAGTGATTATGCTCAATCCCATACATTGTCATTTGCCACTTATCCCTTGTTTTTTGTGGTGATGAAGAGGAGTTTTTTGACTATGAGAGTGGTCAAGCTTCAGAACAGGATACCTACAGAAGTTGTGGAATCTCCATCCCTTAAAATGCTCAAAAGCAGAGTAGACAGACAATTGGCTGGGATGGTTTAGTCAGGGATGATCCTGCCTTGAGCAAGGGGCTGAGGTAGATGACCTGGTGAGGTCCCTTCCAACCTTACTTTCTTATGATTTTATTCCAGTGTAGCCTTTCCCTTAAGACTTTTGTAGGCTTGACTTATTGATAGGTTTCCATTATCTGGAAAGAGGAATACAGTCCCATTTTCTGTTAACATTACTTTTTTTTTAACAGTTTCTAAGTCTTTGACTAAGATTTCCCACTGGGTTCCTTTCTTACCAATCTGTGCAATCAGTTAAACTCTTATTCAACACCGGCAGCCATGAATGTTGATGGAGATGATATCTGCACATATTTGTAAATTTGAGCACAGTTGAGTTAAAGTCCTTGTCTGGTTTCTTTTTGCCAGTAGAGTGCACCAGCACAGCCTAACCCTTTGTTCTCTATAGAGCAATCCATATTATATTAAGCAACAAATTCAAGTATAAATTAATTGAATTCAGTTACTTAATGAAATGTGATAAAATCATGTAATATGTTGGCGGGGTTTCTAATTTTATCATAGGAGACATAGTAACATTTGACAACTGGCGTATACTTCATGGTCGTGGGAGCTACCAATCAGGGAAAGAAATAACCCGACATCTTGAAGGTGCTTATGCTGACTGGGATGTCATAATGTCAAGGCTACGCTGCCTAAGGAAGACTGTCTTGAACAAAAACTAATCTTTCTGCTTGTTTAAAAATTTGCTAAGCCTAGCACAGGCTTAACTTTTTTTTTTACTTTAAAAACAGCAATATATTTGATTTCCTTTGAGTAACATTTTAAATCCTTGCTAACATTATCTTTAAAATTAAGTACAGACAGTCAAAAGCCTGAGGCTGAATCAGTTCAAACTTCACAAGTTAGTCTAAGCTGTGTGGATTAAACCAATAAACAAGTGAACAGACATTCACTTTTGATTCTGGAAATGCAGCCACATGCCTGCAGTGGCCCAGGCCAAAAGTTGAGGGGCACTAGAGCATGCCTCCCTGCTCGGCTGGACCAAACAGCTTGAGCCAAGGCTAGCCTGCCCACCCTGAATGGGGCAGGTTGCGGGGGAGGTGCAAAGCATCCTGGGATGCTGGGGGACTGCAAGTTAATTTGAATCTGGAGGGGATTCGGAACAGGAGTCCAATAAACTGATGTAACCTAAATCAATTAAGTCTGATACTACATCCATCCAGGTTTATCTTAAGCCAGTTTCAGCCATTATGAAAGCAGCTTATGTGCACTGAACTTCTGTTGTGTTACAGATTTAAATCAGTTTCCAATCACTTATACCAGTTTAAGTGTAACTTCTGTCCCTAGCCTAAAAGATGATACTGAGATTAAAACGTGCTTTCATCTTTGGCCTTCGGAAATGAAATATGTTATGCCTCACAACATTAAATTATTTTTATTCTACTTTCACTGTAAGTGGAATTGAAGCCTGCTGTAACAGGTTTTTTAGAGTAAGTACTAGTAATTCTTGATTTACGCTCACTTACCTGCTCAGAAATCAAATCTCCGGTGGTACGTAAAGGAAAGGTTATAAAGTTCTAATGAACAGCACTTGCTGACCCTTTCAACTGTCCTCAAACACATAACTGTTTTACATACAACCTTTCAATTTCTTTGCCAAAATGACAACTTGAAACTTTAGAACCCAGAATATTAATTTGCAGTTCTACTGCAAAAAAGCAGCTATATGAAGGTGGCACCTTCTTGGTCAACAGATCAGCTCCTCTCAGGCTTTGGATCTGCCTCCAGAATTCACGGCTGTCTATAATGCACCAAAAGAAATCCCTAGTACCAAAACCTCAAAAAAGATTTGAATTTGGGCTGGGATGTTATTTGGGCTCATCTATCTCTACCGATCATTAAAGAATGAATGTTATTTTTCTCAACATTTAGCATTGCATTCTGAGGCAACACAATGTGATCTTATGCAATATGTCACAAAACTGGCTTTGGAAGACTTTCTGATCCTGCAGTACTTCCTTTATTGCTTTCCTTCAAAAACTGAGGAAAGTCCATGGTGTTTTTATGTTGGTTGTCAAACAAAGCCTGCTACGACATTGTTTTAACTGGGTGTTAGTTTTTATGTAATATAATTTACCTTCAACTGCATTCTTATACAAATACTTGGACAACAAGAGACATCTCCTGCTTTAATGCTGCATGATTTTAGAAAGCCATTTTATACATGTGTTTATCAATTATTAAAAGCTATATGGGAACTTATTTGCAAGTTGAATTGTTGCCTAATGCCTCATAACACTTTTCTATGGTAGCAAATGCCTGACAGACATGCTTCAGTAAAGATAATGTTTGCTGAAGGATTTTTCCCCAATAGAGAAACATGTAGAGATTGCCTATGTTCTGTTCAGGCAAAATCATCTTATATCTATATTTACCAAAAAGGGCTCAATTCTGAGGCAGGTAATTCTTTGAGAGGGTTGCATAGAGCAGTATGTCTTCTGCTCCTGGAGGCCTCCAACATAGTGGAAGATTTAGTTAGGTTGACGTAGGTAATTAACATGTGCTTTAATGCAGCCTAAGAGACACTTTTATCTAACAAATATTGTTGACTGCACCCCACCTGCCCAGAAGACTGTGCCTTCTCATGTTTGAGAGGCAAGAACTAGAGTTAAACTCCTCTCTTACTCTCCTAAACACAGAAATAGAAGACGATAGCTTCTTTGTCTGTAGAAATAAACTTCCCACACCCTCTTGCCTTGCTGTGTATGAACCTTGCAAGAAGAGCTGAGCCTATGGTGGTCCTCTCCTGTGTCTAAACAAGTCAATGGCTTCTAATGGCACACGATCAGGAGCTCAGACAGCCTGGGTCCCAAATCAAGGATCTGAAGTTAACTCAGTACTGGTTAAAAGGAATAATAATTCACATAGTTTGGAGTACATAATAATGATCCTAATCACAGAAAAGTAGGGCACATGCACACATGCAGGCACGTGCACTTGCAGCAATTCAAATAGCAGCGGCACAAATTTGTGCCAGAGATTTGTGCCTCAGCACACATGCCTGAACATGCACTTTGGTGTGAGACAAATTGTGCCACTTGGGGCAAACTGACCCTACCCACCTCCTCCTGGTTCTTCAGCCAGGGGGAGCTAGAGGCTGGGGCCAGCACCTGTGCTGGCCCCAGCAGTATAAAAACCTGCCCTGGTGAGCAGCTCAGGGCTACTTGCCCTCAGGAGCTTCTGAAGACAAGCAGGTATCTTCAGTTGGTATCTGGGGACAATAGCTCCTTGTGCCACCAGTTGGACTGCTGAAGCAGCCCTAACCTAGAGTGACCCCTGCACCCTCTACGCACTACAGCAGTCTGGCAGCGGGGGCTGCTGCCTAGCTGTGATCTGCTGCCACCTGTGACAGCATCTTCCCCCTTGGACTGGTAGCCCCTTGGCTACACACCTGCCAGACCCAGACAGGAACCGCACATCCTCTTTGGCTGGGTATGGGCATTGCAGCAGAGCCACCTGCACCTCTGCGCCAGCTGCCAGTAGGCTGTGGCTGTACAGTTGGCCTGAACCTATTCAGCCTCCACAAGAGAAGGCTGAGGGGGGACCTGGTGACCGTCTATAAACTCACTAGGGGGGACCAGAAGGGTTTGGGGGAGACGCTGTTTCCCCTAGCGCCCGCTGGCATAACAAGGAGTAATGGGCACAAGTTGATGGAGAGGAGGTATAGATTGGACATC